GGAGGGGGCGGGGCCAAGGGGCGGGGACGGAGGGGCCGCGGAGTCTGCTGGGAAATGTAGTTCCTTCAGTCCGGTAGCGCTGGCGTCCTGGCTTCGCTTGTACCGTGGGGACTACAACTCCCAGGAGTTTGCGGGACTGGTGGGGGAATCCATGCGCAGTGGGCGCCACATTGTATCCTATCAGGCGAGGAGAGGGTGATGTCACCTGCGAGTTGGTAACCTACGAGCGGCTGTGAAGGAAACTGTTTAACCGGATCCCATTGTACCCGGAGCGCAGAGCCGCCTTTCCAGCATGCAGGGGCTGCTCAGGTAAGGGGGACGCGCCGCCTCGCCCGCCGCACTCATTCATTAAGTGGCACCGCGCGGTGGCGCGAGGGTGGGCGTGCTTCTTCAGGCTGGGTGCTGGGTTCGCGGCGCGCCCTCCCGCTTCCTCCCTGCAGCACCAGGGCCAGTAGGTAAATATTAAACCCGTCCTTCAGGTTGGGTCTGGGTGGGAACGGGACCGAGACAGCTCCCAGCTGCCGAGCTGGGGATGGGAAAATGGCTGCAGCGCGGCACAAAACGAGGCGAGCCTGGAGGAAGGCGCCCTTGAGGACCGGGGTCCCTCCCTCCTTTCTTTCTGAGGCGCTCGGATGGCAGGAGAGCCGGCGGGGTACCAATCGCTGCTTCGCTGCAGGCACCCCGGGTCTGGGGGCTGCGAGCACTGCAGCAGCGTTCGCGAGCTGTCCCGGCGGCTCGGAGAGGGAGAATCCCAACGCAGGCTTGTTGGACACGGAGGTGGCGACAGGAAGGAGGGGATCCCCGTGCTCGTCCACTGCGGAGTAGAACCTCCACCGCTTGTGACACCCTCACTTCAAGCCCCATTCGAAAGAAACGGGGTGACTGTAATTCAGGCAAAGTTGGAGCTAAATGTCTGAAGAGAGAGGGCAGGGAAATACGGCCTGGCGTAGGGAGCTAGGCGTGTTGGAGAACTGCGGCCAGCGGAGGCTGCGCAGCCCGCGAACCCGGTTCGAGGTGCCGCAGAGCGCTCCTGCCTCTAGTCTAGCTCCGGAGGGCTCCTCTCAGTTTGCTCCGCACCGATGGCCCCGATCGGTAGGAGCACTTGTGCCAGGGAGAAGCGCCTGACGCGGAACCCTGGACCCGGAGGTGGTGAGGGAGTGGGGGCAAGCGGGCCGGATAATCTAAAGATAAAGCTCACCCAGGGGCGGGAGGGCTGGATAATCGGGTTTACCCCAGCTGGCGCCTAAAGTCGACTGCTTGTGATCAGCTCGCCCTCCTCCCGGAGACGTGCACGGCCCGCCAACTCTGAAGTCCTCTGGGTTTCCTCTCCCTTTCCCTAGTACCGTCCTTCGCTCGCTTACTCACTCATTCATCAAACCCTGCTAAGGTCTCTTCCCAAGTTGCTCACAGCCTGGATTTGGGGGTGTTCTGTCTCTACTCCCTATAAAAAATATCTTAGTGGGCTCAGGAATAGATGCCTGCGTTCCATCCCTCCCTCTCCTATCCCCACCCTCACCAGAGCACGGAGAGCAAATGCCACCCGTGACCGTCTTGCTGCCATTGAGCTGGTAGTTCCTTGAGATTCGAGCAGGACCGGGTGACTGGAGGCGGAGTCTGCCTGCGAGATGAATCCGGTTGCCATGGCGACTCTTGCCTTCGGAATCTTAACTGCTCCCACTGCTGTTTCGATTCGATGTGGCTCTGCGGGCAGCTGGGAGGGCGTGGCCAGTGGGTGTGGTCAAGGCTTGCCCTGGGCCCAGCTGCTCTCCCCTCCTCACCCCTTTCACAGCGGCTGGACTCTCCCCATTCTCTTGTAAATAGCTTAGACGCTGTTCTTTGACCCCTTTCCCTTTCGGCTGCTGTAACCTCGGTACCTCGTTTCTCCACTTCTCTCCCTAAAACGAGAGTCTTCCTGAGGCAAACTCTGAAATTACAATTTGGAAGAT